CGGTCAACGGCCGTTTGCACCGCTATCCACAAAATGCGCCTCGGAACGTTTTCGGTTAACGAAGCTTTGTTGCCCAAGCACTGGAATCTGCAGAACATCCTGGAAAACATCGCTTTGTGTCGAATGCTCCTGTCGCGCGCTTCGCTCCAACCGTCTCCCGTGCTGCGTCGGGCTCCAGCGCATGAATGTCTGATGATCGACACGATCGCCCCCGACGACTATAACCCTGTTGGTTGTACCGGTTCAGAAGCGACCGTAAATCATGGTGTTGATGAACCGGACGTTGAGGATGTGCACGACGTTTTCGGTAATCAACAAACCGCACTGCCCCCTGTTCCTTTAGGCATTTAGAACCAAGGAGGCGGTGCAAGGTCTGTTATGCAACCCCGTGTAGTTACTTGTATGCGACATGTCCTGCAACGCCGATGATGTAATTTAGTTGTAGTTAATTGCAAGCCTGTCACTGTGAACCAAACCAGTTATTTTCAATCCTGTGTCTAAAATAAACTGGCTCTTGAATGGTTCCGGACACAACGAAACAAATAGACGGTGGTCTTTGGTAAAAGTGTCGACATTTCAGCCAAACTGCAGTGGCAGTCGTCAGAGAAACAGTAATTGCCAAACAAATATTGTTTGCTCTGAAGATCGGTTATTCGAAATATTAACGGCTAATTCCATCGAGCAGCATGTTACCCCGTTCTTGCATCCGTACAACCAGTTAAGAAGGAAAGGAAAGTTAGTAACCGCTGGCACTGCCGTCTCCCTCACGTTTTCCTGATTGAACGCTGTTTGTGACACGCTTTATTTCATAAAGCTTATGATAAGGCATTAATCACCTTGTCTGTGTCATCCTTCTGGAACGCATTATTCGTTTTAAACTCTATGTCTACTGCTCGGCGACTAGCATAGTGTGAATTCTTCTTTTTCTTTCCCACACTGTGGTAATCACTTATCAACCTCAGAACGAAAAAAGGGACGTATCCCAATAGAGACTAAAACTCATGATCTCTCGATCCTGAGTCAGACGTTCTATCAACGAGTAATATTGGTCTAAGGTACTTATAGCAAGTGGATCATCTGCGAATAACTGAGACAGTACAGTGTTCTAGCACTGTCGCCCTAAAGATTACGATCATGTCGTCTACTTGTCGCCATACACCTTCAGTCATCTCGCAGCGACTGAAAACCAGCACATGATGTAATCGATAAAGCGGAAAATATTTGTATCGTACGAAGTCATAGATCTGGTATTTAATATATAAGCTGTTTAATGAAAGGATTTCACGTTTGTTGTCTGCTGTGCTTCTTAAGTTAGTAGCATCAAATCGCGGTTAATTCGCATAATTCGTGGTTATTTCGCTGTTGGTCGACGGTATTCCATGTGTCACCTCTTTGCCTTAGGGCTAGGGGACTCAGGGCTTATCCAGTCGTTTATCCTGGGTATATCATTGGAGCCAGTTATCAACGCTAGTTGGGCAGTTGGTTTTTTGGCCAGTATATACTTTCCGGATGGAAGTAAACATTCCTGTTTTAAAGTTGAGGCAACCACCCCTTACCATTCAACCCTGATTAATCGAGTCGTTAATGAAATATTTAAAATATTAATTGCCATTTTGCATAAATTTCTCACATTTATTGCAAATATGTAAATAGAATTGTTTAATCTCGTTGCTTTCGTGGATCACTGATTGTCTGAATGTTTAGAAATGATGCAGCGGACCGATGTGCATTTACCAGCTGATTTGCATAACGAAAACGATTCTGCTGATCAGATGGCTTCTGAAGCAGGCGACATGACCCTTCGAGTGATCAGTGGAAACTCTGAAGTACGGCGGCAAATGTTAAAATAAACTCTGGTTGGCATTCCTTGGAAACTGAATATATGAATGACGTGGCCTTTTATCGCTCAGAAGACACTTCTGATCGAATCGGACAGCCGAGACGTGGGGCTAGAAAGAAACGTATTACTTTTGAGAAAAAGTCTACCGGTCGATTTCACGACCATCTCGGACGTCAGTGACATCGATATCAGCCAGTTCTGTGAAGCGCTTAGGACTCGATGCATCGACCTCCTCAGAAAAGCAGTCATTCTGCCATCATCGCAGACCTTTACACTGCTCAGTGCAGCCTTTGCTGCAAGAAGCGATCGACCTCATTGTCGCCGTACCGTTCCACGATTAGCCATTTGAAACGTTTGCCAAGGAATCGTACAGGATGAAAGGATCGTCAGTTTTTGTTGAATGAACTTCGTTTGTACATATGCCTATGAACCAGCATTGCAAAGTTGGCATGGTCTGTTCTTTTGAACTGATTTTTTTGTTGTTCGTTGTCATCATCGAAAGCTAACAGGGCTTAAACAGCAGGGTAATCGCTGATCATTGTCTTGAATTTAGAAAAGGCAGTGGTTTTACTGTAATCAAAATGCAACCTACAACAGCGTTGAATATCAAGTGATGCGACTACAAAAACAGTCGAATCTTAACACTAATCGAGCTCAGAAGTTTCGAAGGTAGTGAGACAGACGGCTGGCGTGATTCATTAGGTTGCAACGAAGCAATGAAGCCTCCATGGCTGGTCGGCTGCTGACGTGGAGACCTAAACACGGCGAGAGATCGATGACCAACGGATCAGAAGACATAAGAAATTAAACAGGAATTATTAATCACTTCTTCGTCAACGCCGTTAACAGATCCTAATATCAGAGTGCAATTAAATGGAATGCAAACAAGTTTTAAGCTGTTAGCAAGAGTGCTAAAGTTGCTGATGACAAATAAGAGCAGCATAATGTTCTAGTCAATTAGCATCATCATATGGTCTCAATTTTCAAGAAATTTCAATGATTGACGTTCCCCTATTTTATTAGCAAAGCAGTTACTTCCCAGAATTTTTGGCTTGTTTCTGTTGAATATAGATATACATCGTACTTTACTGTACATTTCATCGAATGATGTAGCTTCGGAACGCCAAACGTATAAACCCGGTGTAACCCATGCGATGACTATATGAGTGCAATGGAGTGGTACATACCTCGAGATGAACCCACTAGTGACGATGCTCATGTGCAATGCTATCACTAGTTTAGTGCGCACGTGGTATTAAGAGATTAATCCGCATGGCAAGTTATGCAAAACATTGGAGTAATATATGGATGGAAATCGTTGTCTAACAGGAAAATTATTTGGTCTGTTTTTGATTTTGTCAGCAGACTCATCCTGCTCTTCCTTTGACATTTCTTGACCGCATATGAAGTTCTGTTAGACTGTTGGTTCGCGTTTGAGCTAGTGATGCAGAAAAATGAAGCTGCACCTGTCAAAGAATGAAGCACTGCATGCATGCTCAGTTCGACATTGCCCAGCGTGTTACGTGCCAATCAATAAGTTAACGAAATTGCAGAGGTTTAGGTGATCGATGGTCACTTTAGAGTCCAAACGTGCTTAAGTGAATCTTTGGAGTAAGACGCATGACGTAGGATTCCACCAGTAAGATAATCATTTCTTCATTTGAGGATGCGGTGTTTTATTCAGTTATTTTATCACTGAAGAGAACGGGAGGCTTGTAGTGTCTTGGTAAGTAACTCTATCATTGATCAGAATGCTGTCTATGAAACATCCGGCAGGAGCGAACCAGTGCCCCAATCATGAACTAGTGAAAGTGAACTGAAAATTTTCCATGCGGTGCGTCATTCATAAAGCATATGTTGTGTCATTGCTTTGTTAGATTGCATACAGTCACCTTGTGAAAATTCAGTTACATTCATCATCTGTTAGCGCATTAGTTATTGAATGCAATTAGAATCACACAGTACTGTACGGCTGTACGGCCTGAATTTGTATGTCGTAACTCAATCGTTTAAATGGAAAATGAGATTTATTTTGCTATACTGCAAAAGACAGTGCATCAATACTTACCTTTAGATGCAACCTATGTCAGATGACACCTTTTACATAATCATCCACGGTTACTAAGGATATCATTTTATACGGAAAAGGTTTTAAATTGCTTGAAAGTTTTGTAAGCAAGATTTTGAGAGATCGTTAAATATTGAAACCAACAATAATTACGAAGAGCAAACTCTGAAAGAATGTTCCGGTATTTATGAACCAGACAACTGGAAAACTTCATACGCAAATGAACTACAGCGATGGCACATCTACTGAAAGCTGTACTTAGCTACTGAAAGCGATAATTTATTCCTTTCATAATTACCCGTTCATGAATGACTACCGATGAGCCATTGCTTCCAAAACACTGACGTAAGTTAATCCCGTATTGGGGCAATGTCTGTATTATGCCTGGAACCTCACACCAATTGAAATATAACTCATCTGTCTGCTTGTTCAAAATTATACAAATATCATTAGTAAGTATTAATTTGTTTAAAAGTGGACCCTAATGCGAGTCTAATCATGGAAGTGTACAAATTTCGCCGTCAAATTAAATATTTTCTGACACTTACTGTGGAATCTGGCCCTAATTTCGAAACTGTAGCCGCGTATGTTTTGTGATGAATCTGACAGGTGTATCGAGACGAATAACTGCTATACGCGCAGACGCAGGGCCTCAAAATCATACGTATCACAGGCTTATTTGACCTCATCAGAACAATATGCCGTTGTTGTTCATATCAAGTTGATGTACGATCCATGAGGATTCCGTGCCCCCCAATCTGGCCTTGCAGTATTTAGGGGTAATTTAATATGCTCCAACTTGAATAATTATTTTGATGTTCATGGGCTATCACTTTAAAGATACCAGCTACTGAAACATTGTGCTATGGGCGAGAGGTGGCTCTAACAGACGAAATGATTCAAAATTTTTTAGGCAGTGCAGATGCTTGAGTGCTGTGGAGCCATTGCCTACCTAAATGCCTTCCCAGTTTGCAACAAGGAACAAAACGGTGGTGCAATACGGCGTTAAACCTTGTCTAGTACGAGCTGCACGTCATTAACATGACAGAATAACACATTTGATGTCCGCCATCCATTACACGTAATTTCCTGACAATTTACAGCTTGTCACAGCAAATCCAATCATAAGTTTGGGTAGGTTCAGTGTTTGCCATAATGGGCTCTACCCAAAATTTATAAGCAATAATTTGGCGCCAATTTTTCAAGCTCAGCGCCGTTTAACAGTTTTGCATGGCCTTGCTCAGTGTCACTCATCTTTCGCTCTTCATTAACGCTTCCTTACGTTTCTGTGCTGGTTGTACCAGTGGTTTCTGCATTCAATGAGATATATTGTTGATTAAATTGCCACCAGATTTCATTTGTTACTTCGTTTGCAATATGAAACATTAACTTTCGCGTTGTTGTGCACTCAGGAAAATCAATGAAAGAACGTTGTTTAATGTGCTGTCTATTATAATTCGGCTCCAACCATGAATCGTCAGACTGAAGATTTCTTCAACTGCTAACTCAACCTCAGCAGCAGATTTAAGCGTTATTCATTTATTTAAATGCTGTTTGTTCTGAAGTTAAATAATTTGGAAGTATATTGAGTTTTTCTAAGCTATTTTTTTGTTAACAAGAAAATTTCTTCTTATTCTTTAATGAGTATTATATTCGGTCGATAATATTCTGTGTGGTTGACTACAAACGCACTCTTCATGTATTCCCTTTTAGCAGTGAACCAGTAAATCATTTGTTCACTTATGCATTCATACCTTCATTCATCCACGATACTTCATTACACAGAGAAATTATAATAACCGTTTATTCACATTTAATGCCTGATTTCATAGTTCTAATCTCTGAAAACAAAGTGAATTCAAATCCAGTGTATCTTCAAACTGTGAATAGTTAAAAATCTTCAGAAGGGCCGAACTTCGCAACAAGCGGTCAGGAAATGTGACCACATGCAAAATGAGTCAAAAAAAACACCAGGTGAAGATGGCTAAAACGAACTATACGGAATGACAATCCTGTGACGAAATACAGGCAGTTTGCGTATATACCACGATTCTGCCAGATTTGATGAATTAGTCGCCGATACCATCGCTGATTCGGGCACATTATTCCCATTACTCGAAATCGCAATTTTCAGTTGCTATTCTGGCAACTTCGTTCAACCTCGAATATTGAGTGATTGCGGAAACCTAACTTATTAATTCATGGTCATGATTCTTGAAAGATTGCGAAAAACAATATATATCTTTACAGCATCATACACAGGTCTGTGCAGATCTGATGTTACTTGACTTAGCCTAAACTATAATTTTATTCTACTATATACTTTTAATATGCAAATATCTGGCTCTTAGCAACGCTGGATAAATCTAGCTTTAGCCAACATTCAAATGCAGAAAAGTTAGTGGCATGAAAGCTTGGAAAATCATAATTTTGCAACTAACCATATCTAATAATCAACCGATAAAAAAGATTTAAAAGTTTATAAAGTCACCAAAACTAGTTGTCTTGTATGTTAAATAAATCTTCACCTACCAGCGACATTTCTCGCATGTTACGGCCAGTTTAAACGACGACATCGTTCCTTCGTACACTCACTGCGGGCATTAGGGCAAAACAGCCATTCTTTCGTAGAAAAAAAACTATGGCTACGAGCGAAATCATGGTCGCTGAGCACGACTGGCGCCAACGGCGATACAATCGCTGCGAGTGTTGAGGCTGCAATACTCAACCATAATCGAATCAAACGACAAGGGCCCGGGTTCATGCCGGCGGCTCTTGTGTGGCGTTTCGAACTTCGCCGACGAATGAGTCGATTTATACGACGACCATGGCAAGTGTTATCTGCAGCAGCAACGAAAACGGTTGATTGAATGTGCTGGCATATGAGGAAGCAAGCAACACGAATTTGTTCGCCGTCCTCCTGCAAGAGGATACCGGACAACGCCGTGGCGCCTGGTCACAAGAAACTCTGCTTAGCGAGTCTCGACACGATGGCCTTCATGCAGTGTCCATCGACGGGTTCTATCTGGCAGAGGTTTCAAATCAAACACCTGTTTCTGATTGGTTGAATGGACAGTGCATTCGGTAAGTCAGACTATTTCCAAATTTTTCATTCTGGTGTTGTGCTTCGTAGCAACCTTTAGTAAACGATTCGTTTTCAGAAATTGATCGTACAGAATAAGCTGAATACACTGATCAAAATTGAAATAGATCTTGTTACAATCGATCTCGACGGTGTGACGAGGTATGGCAGTTATCGATTCATCACTTTCATACTGTAG